TGCTCAAAGGAGCGAGAAAATAATAAACATTTACTGTGTGGTGAAGAATGTTGATTGTTCTGAACTTGGATGGAACGTGGTAAGTTCAGAGATAGCGAGAAAGATGCAGTGAGACCTGGGAACATGAACTCTTTAGCTTTAATCTGAACTTTAATTTAGATAGCAGGAACGGGATTTGATGAGTGAGAGGATTGAATTTTAAGCAGGCAAAGTGACTCTCAGTGACAGCCCTGCTGAGCTTCACTTGGGGCAGCCGAATGTTAAAGGACTAATTCACAAAACAGTAGCCAGTGCTGCGGTGATTTCCGTAAATGCACTTAAGCTGAAATGTGACAAAAAATGAAGTAGTGAAGACAGATGTTGACAACGGTAAAACCAAACGAAGATACCTCGAGTGGAGTATAGACATAGCATGAACTTGTCACAGTGTGCCAGTCTCATGCATTTACTGAGACGTGTTGCGGCGATTTGCACAATGGGTGGAAATCATTGCGCTTCAATGTCAACCGATCTGATCGTGTCGTTAATCTCACACATACATTCTCTAAAGACCCTGTCTGAATAAAATGACTCACCTCGAATCCGTCCGAAAGTTTCACCAGATCCAAGGGCTTAGTTTTCAGTGAGAACCTCTGCCTTATACAATGTCGCGGAAAATGACCTCCCTGAGAGGAGAAAACAGTCCCGGTTACATTCAGTCCCACAAACTGAGATGCTGGAGAAACACCGAACGGTAATTGCACAAAATTAAAATCTATTTCTCCCTCAACCGACATTCAACAGCGAACAGACCCAGTGAGATTCCGATCAGTTGACACTCACCATTTCATGCAGTTTGCACAGAGTCTCTGTGTTGAGAACTTGCTGTAACTGCAGCCTCTCACAGCCCAGACTCAGGCTCCCGGATACAAAGACCAGCACCATCCAGAGTCTCCAAATTCTCGCCAGAGCCATGCTGCACCAAGCGAGGGGAAAACTCTGATCGGAAGAATCTGATCACGACTGGATCTGGTTTCAACTCCCAAAACAGTCCCTTTTTCACTGAATGAGAGGCGATTTCCTAAAGTGTCGAGTCCTGTGCGAATGTCTGCTTATATCTGTGCGTGTGATAGAGCGAGGTTGGCCTGTGCTCGGAGCTGTCACTGCCTGAGCGGCCGCTTGTACATAGGAGGAGGGACTGGCGAGGTGTGGGCATGACATTCGAAAAGTGAAACCTGGTTCCGGGAGTTTTCAACAATCAGTAGGAGAGCAAGAAATAGTCTGTGTGCTCCCTGTCTGACGGAAGGAATCTGAAAGCTGGAGATTCCTAAAGGAGAGAATGGAAGATCCCTGACAGAAAATAATAACCAGTGTTCGAGACAAGCTCAATGATCCGACAATTTCTTCCAATATCATTTAAAGCATTATTGGAAAACCGAATTAAAACGGATATACGGGCATTATTCGAGCAATGGGTTAGATTACTGAATTGTATTTCTTCTGTCAAAACGACAAACAAGACTCAGACTATGTGTAAATATAAAAAAACTCATCTCTCGCCTTCTCTGCAACCTTTCAAAGACTGGACCACAGCTGCGTCGTTCAAGGTCTCTCTGCGCCACGGACCGAGCTGGCTGGCACTGCATTCCGTTGCTCCCATTCTGATCAAACTCATTGTAGCCTGAGAATAACCGCAATCACACTCTTCACACTCCAACCTGCTCACCCACTCTCACTGTCAGCTG